GAGAAAACATGATGTAAGTACAAAATCACTCCAAAAACGCTTGGGAACATTCATATTGTGCATAATGGACCAAGTAGTTTCAAGTAAGTGTCGGTTCTTTCGTTCAACCATGCCATTCTGTTACAGTAAGTACAAGAAGTTTGATGAATGACACTGTGTTGCTCTAAATATTGATGAAATGGTGTTGAACAATATTCTTTCACACTATCAAAATGGAGAATTTTAACATGAACACCAAAGTGAGTATGAATTTCAGCATGAAAGTTTTGGAAAATACAGAACAATTCACTTATTTCTTTCATAAGATAAAGCCATGTCATCCTTGAATAGTCATTAACAAAAATTATAAAATACTTGTAACCATTGTACGACACGATTTTACTTAGACCTCAAACATCTGAAGGAACTAAAGAACAAGGACTCAAAACCCGACTATCAACCCTATAACTAAAGGAAACTCTACGATGTTTTCCAAACTAACACAACTCACAATCCAAAGAAGAAAGATGACTCAATGATGGAACAAATAACTTTAAAGCTTTGAGAAATGGATGACTAAGTCTACAGTGCCACTGGAGAGGAGTGAGGGAAGACTAAGTGCTACTTTTAGACCACCACCATCAAGATAATACAATCCACCAACTTTGCCCCCACCAATCTTCATCCTCGTCTTGAGATCTTGAAGCAAACAAGAAGAGAGGTAAAAGGTGATAAAACAATTAAGAGATCTAGTCAATCTACTAGCAGGCATGAGGTTAAATGGGAATTTGGGTACATATAAAACAGAGGATAAAGATAAATATGTAGGTCAACATTACCAACACCACAAATAAGAGAGGTAAAACCATTAGCTAGGGTAACTATTTGTGATGTGGAAGACTAGGAGAAAGAAAAAAACACACCTTGAGTCCCAGTCATATGATCATAGGCTCTATAATCAATATCCAATGTTAATGCTTGGATGCCAAACAAGCCATACTTGAGTGAGCAAGAGTTGTGTTCTGTTGAGAGGAAGCCTAAAGAAATTTTTCATACTCATCATGTGGGACACTCACCATTTCCTTCCTAGAAGCACCTGTAGATGTGGAAGGTGTCTAATCAGCCTGCTGGTTCTTACTAACTGCACCACCACCACTAGTCACAGCATGATTGGCCCATGTATTGGGTGGGTCATGCAAGTCATAACAGAAGTTGACAATATCTCTAACCCACAATGTGCACCTCCTAGGACCATTACTCTGTCCTCTACCATGACCTCCCCCTGAATTTCGACATCCACCTCCTCGTCCACCAGTACAATTAAACATAGGACCACCTCAATTCCCTAGGGTTCCACATCCACCTCCACCACCCCTATTCCCACGACCCTCCCCCTCTTGCCACCACAAAAACATACCTATCAGAGAGGGTAGAATTCTCCGAAGATCCAATAGAAATTCTTTGGAGTCAGGCAAACAACTCTTCAAGAGAGGGAAGAGTAGATTTTCCTAGTATTTGTGCCCTCACAAGTTCATATTCAGATTTCAATCCCACTAAAAACCTTGTCACATCAAGATGTTCCCATTGTTGCTGCTGAATTTTAACATATGAGGTCAAGGAGTGATACACAATAAGCTCATTCCGAAGGTTGCTCATACTAACATAATATGCCTCTAGGCTCTAATTTCCCTGTTGCAAATTGAAGTATTCCCGATAAAGTTGGTATACTCAGGTGGTGTTACCTTGGTCAGAAAAAAGTTTCTTAGCATGGTCCCAAACCGACTTGGTTGTATCTAAGAACATAAAATTCACACTAATTTTGGGCTCCATGGAATAGATACAACCAAGTCGATTTGGGCTGGGAGGGCTTCAAGTCAGGTCGGGTTAGGTCGGGTTGAGGCCAACCCTAGCCTAACCCTACATTCTAAATCCCCAACCCTAACCCTAACCCAACCCGACCTTCATCCTGACCTACCCAACCCTAACCCTAACTAATTCCTTAAACCCTAACCCAACCCGGCCCAACCCAATGTCAACTTTGGGTTGGGTTAGGCTTGGGTTGGGCCCAACCCAACCTTCTTCCCATCCCTTAAAATCTAGTAGAAAAATAAGTATTTGATTATCATGAATTATGACTTATGACAGAATTTTTCTCAAAAATATAAATTCATGAAATCAACAATAATGAAACATAAAATTATGGAAATAAAATCACTAATAACAACTCATAGGATCAAGCAAATAATTTGAATACATTTGATAGGTCATACATAAAAATTACAAGACAAAAGGAAAAGACAAGTCCATGTCAAAAGGTAGTTATCCATTGGAAGGAACTTGTTTCAAGTTTTTAATGTGGCAATGGCCGATATCATTTGAATTTTTTTTTTTTGTTTTAAAAACAATTATTTTGTTGGACTGCCGAAAAGAAAGAATACTTAAATAATTTTTTTTTTTTTGAAAGAGAATACTTTAACAGTTTAACTCCTTAAATAAGTGTATTATGATTTCTGAGTTCTTTATAGAAAAAAAATAAAGGATAAAAGAATTACACCAATTCTAAAATAATACAGCCTTGATTTAGAATAAAAACAAAGATGAAGTCAGACTATTGTTTACTTTTTTGTTAGATTTTAAAATAAGAAAAAGTTAAGAATTCGGCAAACCCAATGAACAATTAAACAATTAAATAGTATAGCAACTAGAAAGTAGAAACTTAGCAAGCTCCGCCCTGGATTTATGTTAACTTGTTAAGGTATCACTAATAGAGTAACAATTACACAAATAGTAAAATAACAGGCCCTATTGCCCTATTCTAATCATCCTAGAACAAGAAACCTAACCCAAAAATCTGAAATAGTATGTGACTGTGTCAGTGTTGAGTGACGAACATAGGTGAATGTTTAGATTAGTAAAAAACTAAAAAACACCATTTGAGACAAAAAATAATTAATGGTGTGCCATCAGCCGTGAGTTGTAAGTGACGAACAGGTGAATGGCTTATTCATATCTGTTCATATTGGTAAAAAACTAAAAATATCTACTGTGCTTTAATATTTTTATTGTACATACCAATAAAAAGTTAAAAACACCATTTGATCTCACGTGAAAGGAAAGGAAGAAATCAAAAAAAAATAATGAGATTTAACACTTGCAGTTATGCAGCAGCAAGCTATCAGCTATGGGTGATGAGCGTCTGGGCGGAAAACAGGAGAGAGTAGAACACTTTAGATGGTAGACCACTATAGTGTAGACTCTGTACTTCTGTAGTCTATACTTTGTAGATGGGCGGCAAACAGCCAAATAGGAGAGAAGAGACCAGTCGACCACTGTAGATGGGCAGCAAAGAGGAGAGTAGAAGAATAAAATTTTCAAAAAACACAAAAGGTTATTAGGGTTTTAGTTTTGTTGATTACTTGATTAGGATGTGATTAACTTAAAGAAAGGCATGCTAGTATGTAGGGGGGCTATACAACTATCATGCATCTAAACAAATCAGTGTATGTTATATATATAATTATATATATATATATGACACGTAGTAGAGTTGTAGACTAGTAGACTAGTAGTCTAGTACTATAGGGGTCAGGTTCGGGTTGGGTTGGGTTGCCCGAGGGGTCAACCCTAACCCAACCCAAACTAAGGTCGGGTTCAAGAATTTCAATCCTAACCCTAACCTGATCTTCAACCCGGCCCAACCCAGCCCGACTTTTTCAAGTTGGGTTCGGGCCAACCCGGCCCAAGTTGCAGCCCTGTATTCTACAACCAAGTCAAAATTTGTGCATCCTCTTGTTCCCACTCACTGTACCCCTAAGATTCAGATGAGGGTTTCTCCTCCTTCACATATTTTACCTTCTTGACTCTCAGAAACACTTCCACTAACTTAGCCCATGGCACATGATTCTCACCATTTAATTTGATAGATGCAATCAGTACATTTAGGTAATGGGGGGAAATCATAACACCAGATTTATTATCACTACCCTCTCTAATCGTTTCCATTGTTAAAAAAAATAAATAAAAACTTCAATCACCAAGAGCACCCTTCACTATTCCGCACTCACTACACCACAAATAATTAACTATTTCTGAAACACTCACTGTCGTAAGGTTCAGCATCAAAACCCTATTGTAAAAAACAGTCCTTACACATATCTACCAATCATAACTACCAAACAATTGAAATCCAGTCTGAAAGGGGGAGAAAACACCATGTTATATAGTCCAATTATGAAGTCCTGTTCACACCTGTCTACGAACCAGCCCTCTTCGAGTCATCGAGTAGAAGGTTTCTAGCATACCACTGAAACAAACACCACCACAATACTGGAGGCATGATTACCTCCTAGAAGGAAAAACGACCAACCCTTTTTGGCCTCTTATCGATCTTCCAACTGGTTGATGAGATATCTCAAAAAACTCAGATCTGATATGGCGATGCAAAGAGAAAAAAAAAAAAAACTGATTTCCATTGCTCTGATACCACATTAATGGTTCAATCAACACTGGTTCAGTTCTAGGTCCGAAATAAGAAAGAAAGAGAGAAGGAGAAGAAGAGAAAGAAGAGAAGAGAGAAATAGAGAGATCGGCCAGAGAGAAAAAGATCTCACTCTCTCAGCCAACCAACCTTTTATTTATAGTTTATGCATTGAAATACAAAGACAATTATGTCCCTCATTAAGTATGGGACATACAACTTAAACAAAGACAAAATAGACAGTTCACCTCTAATTACATGACAAAAGACCACACTACCCTTATGCTGCCAACTCTATCATGTCTAATATAAATAGCAATCTTTGGGTCTGATTCTGCACCCCTTCTGTCATTCTTTTTTGTCTTCTTCCCTTCTGATTTCTCTCTCTTTTTCTCCTGTTTTCTTGCTGTTTTTCTTACTAAAACAGATCTAATTACCATTGGTTACAGCCAACTATTTACAAAAAAATTAAGGAAGAGGTAACTACATCATCTAACAAAGTTCTTAAGATTCAAAAAAGCTGGTGACAGGAAGAATGAAATACCCTTTGACTCAAGAAGATCATATGGGTGGACCAAACATAGTAGCGATGAGAAATGTACTGTTCTGGCCTCAATAGTTTCTCCAAATCTGACAACCTTAACATCTGGAGGGAAAAAATCAAGCATGCATAGAATTTCGGAATAGTATGAAAAGAAATAATTAAAAACAGCCATGAATAAAAGAATAAACTATAAAAGATATGCACATAAATGGATTACATATGAAATAGTACTCAATGCAATGGAGAATGGAAAATTAGACAACAACAAAAAATAGCAAATCACTTGTGCCATCAGAAAAGTAAAAGTGAGGATTAAGAATGTGAGCTCAGAGCTAGAACCAGGTTTCATGGAAAAGATTCCAAAGAAAAGGCCTTTTCAGGTTTGTTCAGAAGGGAAGAAAAGGGGCATTCTTATGGTATAAAATGGTATGGCTAGCAGGAAAAAAATGCATTGGTTATGTTGGTATTCAACATTGACACAAGGTTATCCATAGAAGTGATAATAGATTCCTGAATCCTGACACATAAATCAGTTTCTGGCATAAGTAAATTTGAAAAATGTGAGTAACCTTGTTACAGTGATAGTTGGACCTCAGGTAACAAGGTATGCGGCTCCAAACTTTGATAAATTTTAATCAAATGGGAGGTAATTGCCTTGCTTGTCTCCTATCTACATGGTTGGCATCAGCCAATCAATGGATGATTGATGTTGATTCCTAAGGTTGACTTTCAGTGGTCATTCCTTCCAATCCCTTAGGCTCAGTTTAGAAGGAGTACGAATACAAATATGTAGAGTGCAATGCCTTGTATTTTTTATTATTTTGTAGGTACTTGTATTGTACATGTTTGTATTTGTACTCTTTCAAAACTGAGCCTTAATGTGTCCTCTTTGGCTGCTTTTCCATCTCAGCTTTTCTGGGACACCCCAATTCTAGCAAGGCAGCTTCTTGTTTTGGACTGCAACTCTAGACAAGACCCTTGTGGTAGAGCACCATAGAGCACCCCAATTCTAAATACTGAATCAGGGTGTAAAGTGTTGTATGCCAGAAAGCTCCACTTGACTTCTGGGGTTGGCTGACGAGAGATCTGGACATACAAGGATGCACCTTTTTCATTTTTGGTTTTTTGACAGGCTGCTGGAGCCTGTGGAAAGAAGAAATAAGCATATTTTGAGTAGAGAAAAAGTGCAAATAATTCATACTAAGTGCACTGAGAGTAGTATCTACTCTTATTAACACCTAGAACTAGTTTGTCTAAGGGATATTAAGCTCTATTTACTATTACAACTTACACGTGGCAGTTTGGGAAACTCCATTTTATAAACAGGAGTATTCATGCAACCTTGCTTCTTTATTTAAGTGAAGTATATAAATAAACCCGGCCAATTGGGACAATGATTTTCTTCCAATAAGAGGATTATTCTCCTCTAGTTTCTGCACTCGCTCTCTTTCTCTATTCCGTTTTCTTTCTTTAATTGTTTCAACTCACCAAGGACAGATCTTGTTCGGAGTCTTTTCTTTTTTTTTCCCTTTTCTTCTCAGTTTCATCCCAAAGTAATTTAGGAACATTGGTCAAACTAATTTTCAGTATCAATGGGCTAACAGCTCCATTTTGCCGTTGGTATTTACTATTTAGTATTTACATATCACTAGTCACCTATTGAACAAGCATGACCAACATAGTATCTTTTCAGAATAAGTTCTCTTGCATACCAAGACCAAAAGGTCCTGTAAATAGATGGAATCACTTAAATACACATAATGAAGGTTTCTGGTGTCTAACATGAACCTCCCTATGACTTCATTAAAAAACAACCAATAAGGTGGGATATAAAAACTTATTCCTTCCCACATCCCAACCCCACCCATACAAAAAAGGGGAAAAAGAACCAGGAATCTAGTTACCAAATGAGGTAGATCCAAAGATCTTATCCAGGCCAACGTCAAGAAATTAAAAAAAAATAATAAATAAATAAATAAAAAGCTCAAAACTTAACTTCCAACATCCATTTTTTTATCAATAACAGCAAATTCCATTAATGATTAAAAAGGCAGAATAGATACAAAAAAGAGTATATGTAAACTTTCTTAATTCTCCTCAAGAAAAACTTAAAAATTACAATTGAGCCCAACATAGTTGACTTCTTCCCACCATTTCTTTGCTAGAACATCAACAAAAAGCATTAGCAATTCTTTTAACCCAACTAAGTCTCACATCCATATTTTGTGCCAGTCACTTGAATTTCTTCCTTACACTATTGAAATTCCAGAATCCAGTTTCTTCCTTTTGCAGCCATTCCACTACCAGCTCACCTTCTATAATCAGCTTATTTATGTTCATATCTGTTGAGGTTTTTGTGCAGATTTGTGGAGATTTATTAGTTGTTTTTGTTTATTATTTGTTTAGATAGCAAGTGAGGACCACAATACTCTTATTGGTAGGTACCCTTTGGAGTAGTGCTTTTTAGCTTCTTATACAGTTTTATGTGTTAGCCGCCCTACAAGGGCATAGTAGTAATTGTACCATTATTTTAATTAAAGTATAAATAGCAACGGAGAGGGCGGCCAGATCTAAGAAGCTCTCTCTTTCTCAATCTCTTCTCTTCTCTTTCTCTTCTTCCACAAGAAACATCTCTTCTTTCTCTTCCTTTTGTAGGCTTTTGATTCAGCAAATTTCTACTTGGTATCAAAGGAAGACTAGGATTTCTTGGAGTTCTTCCATGCAGTCCAAGATCAGTCAATTGTATGAAGAGATAAAGGGCTAACTGATCTACTTTAGACTGTCCAGTTCTTGGATTTTTTAGTGGGTTTCAGTCATCAAGAGGGTGATTTGTATTTTGGCATAAAAATCAGAAAGAACTGGAGTGCGAGGAAGAGTCCTGGTTAAGTTGGACTCTTCAATTTTGACCTGATATTGAGCGAACAGACTTTTCTAGACTTCTCTATGTTTTCTATAGGGGGTGGTTCAATTTTTGTCAGTTTCAGAGCCCTCTAAAGAGATCAATTCACTTTTCTCTTTGGCGGGAGAAGGTGGGAGGAGAGAGATTTCTCTTCGGATAGGTTTTCTTCATCTGGAAAGTCCTACCCTTGTCCATGAGATTGATCTGTTTTTGGAGGCCTTCTACCTAATTATTCCTTATTTTTGACCTGATTGAAGTTGAAATGGAGGATTGGAGTATTTAGTAGAAGTCCATTAGTGACCTGGGTCTGGGTGGAGGAAGTATCAATGACTCTTTTGGGTCTAGGATCATTACCACAGTAAAATTGGATGGTACAAATTATTTAGAATGGGCACAATCAGCTAAGATGGCTATTGGTGCTCGTGGGAAATTGGAGTACATCACTCGGGAGGAGAAGAAACCTAACACAGATTCCTCCCAGTGGGTACAAGATAATTATATGGTAATGTCTTGGCTGTGTTATTCTATGTTACCTCACATTGGAAAATTTTTTTTGTGGGCTAATACTGCAAAAGAGATTTGGGATGGAGTGACTGAGACTTATTCCCAGAAATAGAATGTAGCTAGAGCCTATCAGTTGAGGCATCGGGTGATTAAAACAAAACAGGAAGATAGATCTCTCGCTATGTATTTTTCCATACTAAAAACACTTTTGAAGGAGATAGATCACTTAGAGAGACTACGGTTTGGGAGAGTACAAAGGATGCAGCAACCTATTAGAAGTTGGTGGAGAAGAATAGGGTCTTTGAGTTCTTGGTTGGACTGAACCATGAATTTGATATTGCTAGGTAACTCTTTATCAAGCCTATGCCTTTGTGTCTAGAGAGGAAAGTAGAAGGAATGTTGTTAGGAACCTGCCTAACTCAGGGCTCTTCGAGGGGCCAACCTCCTGAATTCTTGGAAGGAGAGAGAGAGAGAGTTTAATGCTGAAAGAGTCATCCCCTTATTCCTTTTTTGCTCTACTACTTATAGTTTTACAATCTTGATTGTTACAGTTGTTACAAGTGGATGGCCGTTGTTACAAGTGGATGGCAGTTGTTACAAGTGGATGGCCGTTGTTACAAGTGAATGGTTAGTTGTGCTGATGTGGCCTCCTCTTGTAAAACTGATTAACTGCCTTCTGTTCCTCTTGTAAAACTGATTAACTGCCTTATGTTGGTCTGTTCCAGCAGTCTTGGCAATCCCTCCTTCCTTTAGAGCGACCTTGTCCTCATGGTCTAATGTAGGAAAATTTGATTACAGATCTAAGTAGGAAATTTTGAGTCCATGTGCATGAATATGGGCTGATCTGGATCTCCTCTTTGCTTTGTTAGTGTTGCAAAACTGATGGGCCTTGGGCCCTTGCATGTTTTCCCTTGTAGATGGACTATAGAGTTTCCTGATGTGAAGTCCATGGTGAGACGGGCCTAGTCACAGACCACGGGTCCTAGCTGCCTTAACCATTGAATGCCTAGCACCACGTCTGCTCCACTGAGATGGAGAGGATTCTGCTGAAGAAGAACCACACTTTTCGAGCTAAACAGCCATGCACCAACACATGATTGATGACTTCTTCTGAAGGGTCAAGACAGCACACACATCTGAAAGCTAGGGGAATTCCCAGCTCTTTAATATCAGCATCCACACCAACCTTCCCTACCATAATTTTCTAGATAAAGAAGCTTATCTTGGTTAGCACTAGAGCATTCCACACCACCTTGGACCAGTTCACAGAAGGATGAGTAGTCCTATAAAAAGACCAAGCCAATTTTAAAGTAAATTCCCCCTTCACCTCAGCTAGCCATACTATTTTGTCGTGGCAGTTGGAGAGCCTCACACCAGACCCCTGAATGCTGTTTAGGACATCCTCCTCTAGAAAACCATGAACCTGATCTAGGTGTCAAACCCCTTCTTCATCTAGGACATCACAAACCCGCAGCTGCGAGTTCAGCCCTTCATGCTGAATGACTTTATGGATCTTATTGCTCCCTTTATCGTTTCCTTTTGTTTTTAATTAATTATCTCTATATTTTATGTAGATGGAAAGTGCAAGTTCAGCTCAGAATGTTTCTGAACACGTTAAATATAAATGTGTTCTAAATGAGAATGGGCAACAAGTTAGTTTTGTGACAAAGTATTATAGGTCCATCCCAATTTCAAAATT